ATATAAGTATATACACATATACACATATACACATATACACATACACACATATACACATATACACATACACATATACATATACATATACATGTATATATACATATACATACATACATATATACATATGTACATACATACTATATATACTATAACTGGAGGCATATATTTGTTCCCCCTCTCTCTCTCTCTCTCTCTCTCTCTCTCTCTCGCTCTCTCTCATATATATATATATACATATATATATATGCATATATATATATATACATATGTATGTATATATATATATTTATATATACGAGTAACGTTATACATCCCCCTGCATTTCTGTATGCATCTATGGTTACCTCGCCACGGTGGAGTCCTTGATGCGTGCGAGCGGGGGACAAGATCGACATGTGACGTGGTTTTTTGAGCAAGATGTAAGAGCCGAGCGACTCAGCTGCATCATGTTGTCGTGTGTGCGCAGTCCCGTGAACCGACATTCATTCGAGAATCCTGATACGGAAGCTGACAGATGACTCAGAATCGGGGTGACATCCGGATACATGCACATGACGCCTACGGCTCAAGATTGATCTTGACGAACTCCTGCCTTCTTGGTGCCGCGATTCATTTCGGTGTACCAAATTGGGTATTGCCAAGTGCAGTGTGGCGAGTGCCACCAATCCCTAACGGTGCTCCCACCGACGGTTGTACTTTGGCTTGGCAAGGCAGTCTCTTCTTGGGCCTCAGGTGTTGACGGGGTATCCTGTTGGATATTTCCGTCGCCTGGGGTCCTGGGAGGCCTCGCGCCGGATAGCTTTCTGGGTGGGCTACCGGGCGAAACCACCTTGGTCTTGGACGCTTGGGTCGGTGCAAACCCCAGAGACCGAAAAACCAACGGGTAAAGCTTGCGGCGATGGGTGTATCGGAAGCGATGTAAGCAGAAAAGTCTTCGTAACCGGCTGGTGTTATAATTGGCTTTGAAGAAGCGACGAGCGGGCCACAAAGGGGACCACAGGAGACATGTGTGCAGGTGGAAGTTTGGGAGCTGGAACGTGCCGCGATGGGGGGCGGCAGAGGTGCCACATGACCAATGGACGAAATGGGGGTCATGTATCTTTGCGTTTCAGGTTGGCAGGGGGCATGTCCCCCTGTCAGGGCCTTGCACGCCTCGGCCTAAGTACCGTGTTGCCACGAGCACACGAAGAAACGCGTTGATCGGATGCACAGCAACGCCCTGTGGAGTCAGCCCTTGTTAGCATGTTGTCTGGTGGCTTGGATGCGTGGCGTGGTAGCACTTCTGGTTCAAGTGCAGCGGTGGTGCCTGGAGACCAAAAATGGGGGATCGGGGAGGGCAACAGCGAACGCTAGAGGAGCTAGCGGAAGGGCTGGGTGACTTGAAGGTTACTCAGCAACAGCAACAAGAGCAGTTGAACTCGTTGCAAACCCGTGTGGACCGGATCGAGAAGTCAACAGCGATGGTCTTCGAGCATTTGGTACAGGTGGAAGCAGTGTATAGGCAAGCCGAGGATATCCGTGACTTCAAGAAGCTGTCGAAACAAGCAGCAGAAGCCCTCGGAGCTGAGCTGGGCCCGAAGGTCCAGCTGCCGTGCCCCCTGCCGACGGTGAGTCCGGAGCAGTGGATTGCAGCGCCGTCATGACAATATGAATGGAAACCAAGGTAATCAGGGCAACCGATGCAGAGGCAGCGGGGGTGCTCGCTGCGGCAAGGGCAGTGGAAAGGGAGGTAGTTACTAAGAGGCCCCAAGTGTTGCACCCGCCAGGTAGTGGAGGAGATCCTGTTGTGTGCTAGGTAGCTTGAGGCCCAACCGCTCGTACAGTTTCTTAAGCCAACTGGTCTCTGTGCTTGGAGGACGTGCAGTCGACACCCTTGTAGTGCCATGAGCCATGTTTTTGACGTTGATGCAGATGGTTTTTTGGAGGTGGGCCGCTTGGCATGTTTAGCGCTGGAAAGTTCCTGCAGCTCACTGACTTGGGCGGTCTCATGGAGATTAGTGAGATTAGTGGCAATGGCAGGTGTATCCTAGAGCTGTGGCAGATAGCCCCGTCCACAGTGAGTGTGCAGCATCTTCCAACGAAATGCCGGTGCCAGACTCTGCAAAACTTCTCGGTTATGTACTCTAGAGTGGAGTAGTGCCAGTCCATAGTACAAAAATGGGCGTAGCCAAGAAGGATATCCAGCACTACATCAACTATCTTCAGCGCGATACAGGAATACTTCGTGGAGCAAATGGAGCGTGGAATAACCCACTTCAACAACGGTTTTACACATGGCTACTCAAGGAGAAGAAGGGCTCAAAGACCAAAGCCATCGAGGATAAAACCCCCCGAGAAAACGGACATGGACAACAACATCAAAGCGATTATGGACATGAGCCCCCACATCGACGGCAACCAGAAGGGCAAGGACGTGGACAACGACATTGCGGACAAGGACCACAACCAGAAGGACAAGGACGTGGACAAAGACGTTGCGGACAAGAACCACAGCGGCAACCACAACAGGAAGGACAAGGATGTGGAGGATAAGGACGCGGATCCCAAGGGCAACGCCAAGGACACCACCAATGAGCACAAGGCCGAGGATGTGGAGAGCGAGGATTCGGACTCATCGTCATCTTCGAGTTCCGGTGAGTCCGACCGCCCGCTTCCCGTAGTTGACACCTCCAATTGGAATTCCGATTGGCACGATACGTGGGAGCATGCTCTCACTTTGTCCAGCCAGGTTGACTCTGCGCACAAGCGCCGTGTCTTGAACTCAATGCTCCGCACCATTGCCCACTGCCATACCAAATGGAATGAGGAGCACTAACCGCGCATGACGTACAGTCGTTCTGTCTTCCCGCGTGGCAGCTTGAAAGAGAATGACTTTGCAGTGGTTCTGCGCTTGAGCCACCTAGTGTGCCAAACACATGGTTATCATTCTACATGCTCCTATGATGATGGCGCGGTTCCAAGCAGTTTGTAGAACCATGTATTGTTATACAGTCATAGAGCTCAATACAATGTGAAAGATAACAACAGACTTGGTTATAACCCGCACGTCTGGTTATAACCGTTGCCTTGAAATCAGCCTCGTCTCGTGGTTAGACTCCTCGTCTAGCCGTGCCGCTTCATCATGCCCATGGATTCATCTGTTGCCTACACACGTGCTCTCCAAGAGATGACGGTTTATGACCGACGTCCCTTTGATCTCCAGGCAAGACGACGCCGTGGGTTGTCTTGATGACATACCTCTCAAAGACCTGGAAGGCAAGCAAGTCGCAAAGATTGTGATTGACTTGGTCCAAGATGTGCTGTGGGAATCCGTAAATTTCCAACAGCTGGAGGAATGTATGCTGCAGAAGCAGTATGACGAACTCCCGCCACCATTTGGTCTCAAGGTGATTGTTTCCATGCCGTACAAGTTGCAGATCGCCATAATGAGGACGAGCCTCGGTCACACACTGCGCAGTACTCAAGTACTTTTGCATCGAGAAGAAGGTCAGCACGCACAGGGTCAACGACATAGCCTACGGTACATTGAAGATGATAGACTTCACGCCCAACTTCCGTGCCGGACCTTTGGCTATACAACTCATGCTGAAGCAAACGTCGCACTGGTTCGCCCACTTCACGCAAGTGACACCAAAACTTCTCAAGGAGTCCAAGCCCAAGCAGGACCCTGACGATTTGCAGAGTGGCTTCGCGTACATTAAGGCCAAGGTCCCAGGACCAACATTGGTAACCAGCAGATCGAATGGGCGGAAATTGAAACCAGGCGGACAGACGGCCCACTTCATGGTTGGTCGGCTGGGCTGGTAAAGGAATGCCTACCATGTCATCCGAGTGGGATTGTGTATGTGAAGACCATGAACGACTTCTATTTGACCTTGCACGACCTTGCCGCCTGGTTCTTAGACGATGTTGTTGTTGAACTTCTTGGAGATCTCAAGTCCAAGACAATCGTTCTTCCCGGTCTGGCCGAAAAAGGAAAGACACCTGCCGCGCAGGCGATTGCCATGGCAATCAGTGAGTACTACATTCTTCGGGACAAAAAAGATGATAGCATCCGGCCGGGTTCCCGCATATGCTCATCCCTAGATCAGCTGCGGGGAGAGTCGGGCGAAAAATGCCGACCAGACATCCTTGATGATCCAGACGTGAACACGGTGCCAATTCCCAAGTTAAAGAGCTTCCTCGACAGTTCCCTTGCAGAATGCCACACGGTTGAGAGATGGACTGCAGCAAGATCTGTGCAAAATCAACTACGCATGCTTTGCGACAATAAGGTCGATGAAAAGGCAGAGCCCCCGGAAGACAGCGACACCTCCAGAGAGATCGACACCTTTTACGACATGATCAAGCCGGCCTTTCACGAAAAAGCGAAACTGCAGGATGTCATGGCGTGCTTGAAGAGAGCACACTTTGTTGTCAACATGAACAGGGCGACCTTCATACGCAAGGCCGGGACCAGCAAGGACCCGGTGATTCGTGTGCCGCACATGGACGGAGTGCGGGACTTTCTCAGTGAGGAGAGGAAGTCTGTTATTGGCTATATGCAGGACGGCCACAAGACACCCCCAAAGGACTGGGTGCAAAAACTCCAGTGGTCCCACGACGTGATGACTCTGATCATCGAGTCGCAAAAGAAGCCTCCCCGCACGAGAGCAATCGTCTCATCGGATAGCTTCGCCAATGGTTCCAAGATGCTCAAAGAGATCAAGCTCTCGCTGCCGTTTTTCGGTCATGTTTGCCCCGCCTTCATTGCTGAGGAACGAGGACAGTCTTCAGCTGCTACATCTTCAAACCCTGTATCCTCACAAGCACTGACTCCATCTTCCAAGCCGTCAGTCGCCCTGACGGAGGTCAAGCAGGAGCTGGACGATAGCAAGAACTAATGCGTAGTCTCACTTTTGTTCATCTGAGGTGCCTTTTCTGTGCAGTACGACTACCAGCTCCTACTATCCAGGGTTGGTTGAGCGAGCCTAAACCCTAAGCCGTAAACCCTAAGCCGTAAGCCCGTAGAGCTTAATGTTTCGGTTAGGTGTTTCGCATCGAAGGATTGAAAGTTTGCCTTAAGGGTTTAGCATTTACGGTTTCGGGTTAATGTTGTGCTGAGGGTGACCGCTTCGGGCCAAGTAAAGATAAGTGTCTTTAGATGTACCCTAATCCTTAAACCTAGACCGACAACCTTATAAGCCCCAAAACCTAAGTATTGTAGCATGCGCCTGAACCCTTTTCGCGCAAGCGTGTCGAAAGGTACGGGGGGGATACTACGCAGCCCATACATGTGTGTATATATATATATAGATAGATAGATAGATAGATAGATAGATAGATGTATGCATGCATGCACGCATGGATGGATGGATGGATGGATGGATGGATGGATGGATGCACGGACGACGGACGCACGGATGGATGGATTTATATATACTCTTCTTAACTGTGACGTTTAAGATTTAAGTTTCAGGGTGCAGGGTTCTCGGGTTTCTGAACCCTGAAGGTCCTGATATTTGTGTAGACCCATCCCGCCAAATCTACGCCTCCATGTGGAACCATCACACCTGCGTGTTAAGCCTGTAAGCCACCAATTCCAAGCCCTATACACAAACCCGGAAGCCGCAGAAATGGCAGACAAACGACGCACAGCCTTAGCTCTCAGGGTTTCGGCTTCGGACGCTGGTCGAATTAAAGTTTGGGGTTGAGATATACTTGTAGGGATTAGGATCCTGGGTTTATAAGCCGGAATTAGGGGTTTCAGGTGCGGGATTCGGGCATTTTCGTCCGTGGAGCCCTAGACTTAGATTCCGCATCTTGAGAGGCTCGTCTCAGCCCGGCTTTTGGTTTAGTGGTATGGGATAATTATAACTGTTATTATTATTGTGATGGGTTTATGTCTCAGGTTTAGCGTTTAGGGTATCGAGCAAGGAAGTTGGGGGTGGCTGTTTTCTGGAGCTCATTGCCAAAGCTTGCTTCATGCGGTGTTTGCCTTCCCGTTACCCCAACTCCCCGACCCTCCGCTTCAAAGCATACAGCATCAGTTCAGACCTACCGTGCAAAAACGCAAGCAACGCCTGTTTTCGTGGCTTCACCCTGCGCATCACGACGAGACGACAAGGATGAGGACGGGGACCGGGACGGGGACAAGGATGAGAAAGAGGACGACGACAGCGACGGCGAAAGCAACAACAGAACACGTCAACTAAGCCAGCAAAAGCCAGCAGCAAGCACTACGAGCAAGACTGAATCTCTTGTAACTACCGCTAGTCCCCACTGAAGACGCAGGCGGCCGAGGACAAGGTGCGGAGTCCCGAGGACAGCCAGCCTCTGCAGCCCCAAAACCCGTCACTGCTCTAACCAAAGAGCCTAAACAACCCTGACATGCCTAGTACACCCGAACGTCTCAACAGCCGTAAAGGCCATGTCCTCAAACCCAACAGCTCCGAATCCTTGAATCTTTGGACTCTGCGAGTCCTAGCAACCTAAACCTGCTAGAGGCCCTAGAGTTGGCCCGTAGAGTCCTGAGCAGGCTAGGAATCACAGTCCAAGACGCAAACGCGAGACGAGACATCAGTTTCTAAACTCATTCTTTACTTCTGAGCCCAAACCCATACCCTATACGCCCTATGCGTGAATCCTGAACCCAAAGCCAGACACTGCGTAAGCCCTAAACCCTACACCCTGAGCCACTGAGCCCTCAACCGAAGCCGCAACATCCCGTAACACAAATCCGCAGGCCTCACCGCCCTGTTTTTGGAGCCTTACCAGTTAGAATATAAGGTGTTAGGAGCCCCATGGAATATAGTATTTATTCAGGCATCTACATTAGGCCGCTACTTCGACGAAGGAGTCCTCCGACGATGAGTTCAATTTGCCTCGGGCCCGAAGGCCGGGCAGAAGGTAGACACTCGCAACGTAGGGGGCTGAACAATGTTGCCCTAACCCTCCAGGTACCTACTATATAGGGTACTGGAGCCCCTAGGACCCTATATGGTAGGTACCTGGAGGGATAGGGTTGGAATGTGGGAATCGATTTGTAGGGGACTGAGCGACTAGAATAGGAGAATAGGAGTGTGGGTATTGGGTGTTAAAGAATCATAATGTACGTGCGGACTGAATAATTGGAATAGGGTTGGGGTTTCAGGTTAAAGGAATTATCATGTAGGGACTGGACAGGGCTTGCAACCATGATAATATGCTAGCTTGACCTTTCTTATGCCCGTTTTCTCAAGGCTACTGGCCTGGAGCGTATAGCTTGAGGTTGCAAATTGCAGCGGATCATCGGTGTGAGGAAAAGATTTTTCTGCGCCGCGTGAACTTTGCTTAAGAGCTGATCTAGCGAGCGAGACGTTCAAGAATCTTCATCAGTTCAAGCACCATCTCAAACGTTGTCATCTGTAGCGCAGTGTTTGCTCAACAGCGTGGTAGGATGGCTGGAGAGGCTGCCAAGAAGTCTGTGTCTGCCCGGGTTGACTCTTTGCACAGTCAGCTTCGTCATGTGCAGGTATTGTCAAATGTCACTGCCAAACAGTTTGAAAAGGACAGGGTGCAGAGACAGTGGGTGCGGTTCATGCAGTGGACGTTCAGAACACGCCTGGAGGAAGTTTTGGCGGAGTGGAAAGGGGAGCAAAGATGGCCAGAGGGTGGGTCTGCGGGGTCCGGGCAGTTGGAGAAGCCTGTGCCTTTCAAGGATCAGGTTCTTCAACCTGGTGGTGGAACAGCTGCGAGAGCAAGAAATCGCAGCGGATGTGTCTCGGGGGCTGTTGGGTCTCAGGGCCGAAAACGTTGTTGAGTCTGTCCAGGTTAAGGAACCACCGGAGGACGTGGCCAAGGTCTGGGTTCTCGTTTTGTAGTGCAGGCCGACGTGGTTTAGGATGTCTGCATGTAGGATGTTCCGGACCCTTTCGGTGCATGCAACAGGCGGCTGCGAAGAAAAATGGCGCTTGCCCCTTTGTGCATGCGCGCAAGAAGATTCTTGCTGGGCAAACATCAGCGCGAAGGCCCTAAACCCTAAACACTAACCCTGGCCCTGAGCCTTCAAGGGTTGGCGGCTTTGGGTCCTTCGGCCGGCATGACAGCGGCTCATGGACTGGTCAGGCGCATGTCTCAAACCCTGGCCCCGAAGGCTAAAGGCGACTACAAAGGCAATGGGAATACTCCAAGGGCTACTATTAGGGGGTAACCAGTTTTATCTTAACTGACAATCCCAAACCCTACGCCCAAATCCTTAAGATCCTAAGCCCGAAACCCACAACCTGAAGCCACTTAAACCGTGCGAAACTGAGACTCCAGGCGCACAACTGTCCGTCCTCCATGGTCAGTGCGAGGGCGCGCCTTCTTTCCGAGGTCGCACCAGCACCAGGATTGAGGGTTTTTGGGTGTTGAGGGTTGAGGGTTTAGGGGCTTGAGTGTTTAGGATTTTCGGTTGAGGGTTTGGGGGCTAAATAGGGGCTTGAGGGTTTTGGGTTGAGGCTCTCGGGGTTCGGGCTTAGGCTTTTGGTTCTTGGACGGGCAGTTGGGTTTTGAGGGGTTGTCGGTTTAGGGATTCTCGTTTTTGAGCTCAGGGTTTTAGAGCGTGGTGCTCATAAGACTAAGATCGGGGATTGCGCACCTACGGGGCTGCGGAATCTGTGCTGCTCTATGCTTGTCAGTGATTCAGGTTCGCATGCTCCGTATGTATGCCACTGTATGCAATTTTATGTAGGACGTCGGGTTTGCCACAAACCCACGAATTTGCGTTCAGGTCCGACGATCTCAAACCGGGTTTAAGTCTTGGTTTGGGTTCAGGTCTGGGGTTTAGGGCTTAGGGGCTTACGGTTCAGGGTTCAGGATTTAAGGGCGTGCTTTCTGCTTTGTATTCGCCTTTTGAGAGTCCGACCTGGTTTAGTCATTGGATTACTGCTGTTTCTGAACTCATGTGCTGCTCCCTGGCCTTGCTTCATACTTTCCCTGAGCTGGGTTTAGGCGTTTAAGGGTTTAGGGGTTTAGGGGTTTAGCGTTTAGGGTTTAGGGTTTAGGTGGCTTTTGATGTAGTCCAGTGTTTGGCCTTCTTCCTCCTTGTATTCGCCGATTTCCTGATACCTTCGGCGCTCATCATCCGCAGCGCCACGATCGAGCACGAGTGGTGTACCACAGTGTACCTTGTATTTCCCTATCAGGTCGCCTGCTGCCTAAAGAGATGCCGGCTTTGTAATGACATGAAGATCTGGAATCCTCCCCCCCCCCGGGTACGCCGGGAAGCCCAACCACTAGACCCGACATATCCGAAACCCCAACTCAGCCCCAAATCTCGGAACAGTAGCAACACCCTGAAAGGAAATTCTAAAGCCATGATCGCCCGCATGATGACCCAAAGCCGAACCCTCAAACCACAGAAGCCCAAACCTTGGAACCGAAAAAAACACTGTTCAAGCCCCTAGCCCTGAGACCTAGCATACCCTAGGGTTTTAGGGTTTAGGGTTTTAGGGTTTTAGGGTTTAGGGTCTAGGGTTTTACGATGCCCTACGGACCGGCATAAGATCCAAGGAATACACCTAACCTCCCTGTCCCGAGCCCAACACCGCAAGCCCAAGACCTCAACCTAAACCCTAAGCCCGAAAGCCCTAAAGCCCTGCGACCCTTAACACTCCAAACTCTACAGCACCCAAAAGCCTTGTAAACCCTGGACCCTAAGCCCGAAACCCTAAACCCTCACCCTAAACCCTACACCTGAAGCATGTTTGGAAGAGAAGGGGCGGTGCCAAAGCTCGGCCTCGTCGGAGTCGGCCCAAGGCGAAACTGGGAAAGGTGGGTTAGCGTTTGGGGGTTTAGGGTTTAGGCTTTGGGGTGTTGGGGTTTAGGGTTTGCAGGGGCTGAGGGGCAGAGTGAGTAGCGTGTGTCAGCAAATCCGGGCGCTTGTCTGCAAATCGAGCCGCTGTCGCAAAAGGGATGGCCTCAGCCGTGGAAGTCAAGCACCAGAAAGCTCGAATCAGGAAGCCGCAAGCCGGATATGGGAAAACAGGAAACAGATGCAACCACGCAGTACCTGCTCTTGCACCCAGAACTAGTTGCACGCTAGTTTGCATTACTGTCGGTACGTCTCCAGAGATGGAATGGACTTGTTTGACGTTGGAATGTCGGGCAAGTTTACACTACATTTCCAGGAGTATATCGTTATGTGGAGTGGAGGGGCGTTTTTGTGGAGCTCTTTCCTCCTCTTGCATGTTTGCGACTGCAATGCTTGTCCGAAGATGCTCGGATCACTGTATAAATTCTGGATCGGAAATGTTTTGCAATCACACCAGAAGCTCTTGGAAACAAACACACAAGTGCACGCACGCACACACACACACCCGCACAACAAGCACGGTACGTACATGATAGTGAGTGGTACAGCGAAACTCCTCAAGCCGGGTTCACTCGATCGCAACAGGGCGTCTGTTATGGTGATCGCGGATGGGATTCTTTTCCACAGCTGACAAGGCTAACAGCTTGCATAGTAGCCACAATCGCCAGCCGAGCAAAAAGCACCCGACTGCAACAACAGCCATCAATCGATGCCGGACTGACGCTCAAGCGTGCCTGGAACACGAACATGCCGATACCCTAAGCCTGAAATTCGTAGCCGTAGCCGCCCGCAACAAGACATGAAGCTACATGCGTGAGTAACGAATACAAAGCAAGTAACCAAGTAAGTCTCCAGATTCAAGGCTTCCCGGGCCTCCTAAGACCCAAACCACCCGACAGTCGGAACTCGCAGGCGTAGGGTCCGGGTTTATGGCTAAGCTGTTAAGGGCTCCAGGACTTAGGGGCAATTAGTGTACCAGTCTGATAACGATTACTATGCTTGCAGAAGGTGTCGGATAGCAACTCTCACCTGTAAGCTTGCATTCAGGATTAAAAAATCCGAACCCCAAAGCCCTGAACTCCTACATCAAGCCCTAAACCCTAAACCCCTAAACCCTAAACCCTTAAACCCCTAAACCCTAAACTCCAAACCCCCGAAGCCGCAAGCGTTGAGCAGGAGGACGACTGGGCCCTGGAGGCAGCAGACGAGGCTTCAGCACGCCGCAAGATGCTTTGACCAGTTTTAAACAAGTGGGACTTTCCGAAAGTTAGGGTACCTTACTTTGGGGTTCTAGGGTTGAAGGGGTCCTTTAAAGGGTTCTATAGGGTTTTCGGGTTTTGGGACTTTCCGAAAGTTAGGGTACCTTATTTTGGGGTCCTTATAATAAGGATCCTATGATTTAGGGTGCTATATTAGGGCCCCCTATTTTCGGAAACCCCCAAGTCTGAAACTCACTACCTTGCTTTGGGGGGTTTACGGGGGTTTAGGGTTTAGGGGTTAGTTAGGGGTCCTTAACCTCTGACTCCCAAAACGCAACCCTCAGCAACCCTCATATTATCCTGACTCCTTCACCCCCCTACCTGCCTCCAAAGCCTCAAAAACCGCCCAAGCGTTGCTTGCGTAAGCCCTGCCCAGCCTTTGAGGTCTCAGCGCCACCAGCCTAAAGGCCTCCTCAGCCCCAAACAGCTATTGGGTTTCGGGTTTAAGGTTTAGGGTTAGGGTTTAGGCACAAACAGCTAGATGTGTGTTGGAGCGGTGTCTTGGACCATACGGAGTTCAGCGGCGGAGCTTATGCTTGCCTCAAAATCCTAGTGACGACTGCCTTTGCCAAGTTTGCACCCTGCCTGCCGGAAGGAAATCGAATTCTCAAGGAGCCTTACAGCGCTCGATTCAGGAATACCCACACCTTACACCAACTTCAGGATTGGACTTGGGTTTAAAAGCTGCCGTCTCAATCCACAGGGGATTCTGTGGATTGCAGCTAATTAGTATGTCGGGTTTCTTACGAGGCTTTTTGGGGTGCAGATCAGCCCTTCAGGGCAGCTGTTTTTGTTGCTTGTGAGTCTCTCGGCCAGGGTTCTAGGGTTCAGGCTTTCGGGATATCATAACGATCATCGCGCAACTACAATCTACATTCATGGGGTTAGTGCAGCGTGAGCTGCTGTTCCGCGACCCCCAACCCCGAAACTCCAAACCCTAATCCCAAGCCTGAACCCCAAACCCCTAAACCCCTAAACCCCTAAACCCCTAAACCCCTAAACCCCTAAACCCCTAAACCCTATACACCCCTAAACCCCAAACCCAAAGACCCCAAAAGCCCTCCTTGGGCTTCGCCAGTGCTGCAGGGGAGCCAGGCGTCTGGTTCCCAGGCTGCGACGGCGGCGCCCTCCGTTGAGGCCCGGGTTTAGGGTTTAGGGCTTTTGGGGTCTTTGGGTTTGGGGTTTAGGGTTTAGGGTTTGGGGCTTCAGTAGGCTTGAAAGTTTTTGGGGTTTAGGATGTGGGATTCTGGAAAAAGTCTATGCCCAAGCACCCCAAAGCCGAAAGGTGTAAGGCCTTGAGAACGAGCTAAAATCCTTCAACTAAACCTAAACAAGGAAGCCTCGAGCCGTAATTCCCTATTTCCCGAAATCCTGAAGCCCAAGCCCAAGGTTTTCTGGTTGATCTGCTTTATAGGATTTAGGGCCTAGGGTTTAGGGTTTAGGGTTTCTGGAAAGTCTTGACAGCCTGTTGGACCAGAGAGACATGCAGTGAGCTCAAAAGCTGAACCCCGACTTGTTTTTTCATTATTATGTTTATTGTTTGTTATTGCTACCGCTGTCCTTACTAATCATGTATGTTTCCATTGGAGATTTAGAAGCCCTGCCTGCGACGATGACCCTTCTTGACATTGTTGCAAGTGTTGTTCTTATTCCTTCGGTATTATCGCTCTTTCTGCCATGGTGCGCGTCCCCAGCTATGGGCACAGGCCCCGAGCAAGTCCTCAGAAACACTCCAGAACACACCGGACGCCGAGGCCTTGGGTCGAGT